AAAAAATATATATATATATATATATATATATATATATATATATATATATATATATATATATATATATATATATATATATATATATATAACTCCTTGAGTTTCATGTTGGCCTACATGTGGCTGTTCCTGTCATGAGCCACCCACCTACAGAGTCCCAGGGGTTGGAGGAGATGTTACAAGAAGGCTGAGCTGCTGTCCAAGGGTCGCTGGAGGGAGGCTGCGGCTCGGACGAGGATCCAAATATGTCCACCAGTTCCAACATGGCAGACTGCAGGGGAAAAAAACCGAAAGATTTATGACAGACGACTCTCTCATGCAGTTCACATACGAAAAACTGATATTCAGAAGGAAAAAGAACAACAAAAAAGCTCAACAAATATTGTTTTTCACCTCATGCACTCATCATAAAATATCTACTCATTTCACATTCAAAGTACTGCAATTTAAAATGCCACACCAGATGCATCAATTAATCATTTACCAGTTACTCACACATCTGTGTTTAAGCACCGAGTCCGAAATCACAAGTCAAGCATTAATAGTTAGTTGAACAGGCTAAAAAAAAAAAATAAATGAATGGCCACAGAACTCAACGAACTGAATGAACACTGAAAGATGAAGTTTAAGGATTTTTCACACTCGTGAGAGAGGTCGGTAGTGAATTGTGCTGCAGTTCAAAAGAATCCTACAGATAATCCAAATACAGTTTAATTTGAGCAAGAAAATACAGAAGCTCCTGATCCCAACCGCTTCAGGCTCAACCGAGACCCACAGCTGCCAACATGAAGAAGTCAAGCGGTTACAGATGAAACAAAATGTTTGCCAGACAAGACAAAGGTCAAGCCCATAGGCCACAAAGGTGAAGCTTTCAACCCAAACAGCAATCTAATGCAACTCCAAACTGAGCTACTGGTTCTTTGTACAGCAAATATTAACAAATCAAACATCACTAAATTGATCAACTTCACCTCATAACTGCTGGACAATGGAAACCTGAAAATGATTGGGTGTTTCAACAGGTCAAAGGTCTCAAACACATCTAAACTGGCAGACTGCCAACAAACTCCTGGAATAGTTTTCCCAAACCTGAAGGAATGTGAATTTTCTTTGATTTAAATTATGTCCCCCACTTCTAAAATGAGTTCTCAAATGTCAAGCCAGAATTATACCAGTGTCTTGTTGGTTGGCTACAAAAAGCCAATGGTTCCTACAACTTCAGAGATATTAACCCAAATAATAAATGTGGAATGCAGATACACGGATCCTAATGCTGGACTACGTTTCTAAGAAACTCTTCACTTACCACCTAATATATATTATATTGGTTATAATGTTATGCCTGATTGGTGCAAGTGCTTGAACACTGACAGAAAAAGAATCCTCCCAGCCTTTCAGCTTATTTCAGATTGCATAAGGAAACAGCTTGCATCCACGCCGGATGATATTGTTGGTCGTTCATCAATCAGCTTTGTAGCTTGCATGTGTCTGAGCATGTGTGTATAATCTCGATTGTGTGTACTGACAAAAATTCATAATAAACTCCAACTCGCCAGCGTTTTCCGCTTTCGGCAAACCTTAAAAACACCATGTTGTATCATCAAATAAGGCAAAAACGCACCATGAAAAGCTGAAAATGACCTTCATGGAACAGTGAGGGGATGGGACAAGGTCATAATTAACAGAGTGAACAGAAAGTGGTTTTGTTATTCCTGATATGACGGCCTTTGTTTGTTTTTGTTGTGTGTGTGCCTGATAATGTGAGCACGCTGCAGAGTTTTTCAGCTGGGGACCCATTACACCCACTTCCCACGGTGTCTCACTGACGCAGCTGAAAGCACCTGTCTCTCTATGATAAGAGTAATGCGAACACGGTGTAGCCAATTACACACCCCGAGGACATTTACATAACACAGTCAGTGAGTCTGATTGGCTTTTTGACAGAGATATGAGAGAGAGATGTACAACCGGATTAGGACTCTTAGGGTAATGTGACATTTAGCAGTGAGGTGAAACGGGACTCATCCTGTGGCGAACTCTCCCGTTCTCCTCTCAAAGCCCTCGGCTCTTTCTCTCTCAAAGCCCTGTCAACGTTTGTCCATTTTACGGTCTCGCTTCTCCTCCGTATCTCCAAAACACAAGCTGAAAAACTCTGCTTCATTCTCAAAATGCCTGCCAGCTGCCACCTACAAATGCTCCCACCCACCTTTCTATACAAATTTGCATTTACCACACAAACACACACACACACACACACACACACGCGAGCCGTCCGGCTCATATGCACGCATTTTCAAACTAACCTCGTGCATCTCTGACTGGCTCTCTCTCCTGCTCTCGTCCAGGGCCTTCTGTAACAGGGAGTCGTCTCCTTGGCGACAGCGCTGTTCCTGCAGGGGCGGCATAGTGACATCATGAATGCAACAAGCCCACGAATGCACACCGCCGCTAGCAAAACACCACTTTGGATTCGTCTGGCAGAATGAATGCAAACCGGAGACTTTTTGTGCTGGTTTTCAAAGAGGTGATTTAGAGCAAAGCAGTGGGGAAATCATCCAAGAGGTTACTTTGGGAGTATATATATATATATATGTATATGTATGTGTATATAAAAAAGACTGATTTCATATTGCATTAAAGGAATCATGATTCTACATGGCAGACAGTCCTCCCAAAAAACAAAGATGATTAAGGAAGAAAAAAGAGAAGCAAATAGTGGAATAAAGCTTCAGGAAAGTGTCATATGAGGAAAATATGAAACGACACTGAAAAATTAATAAAGGTTTTTCTCAGGCAGTTAGGAGACAGATTTCTAACTGTGTTTGCACCTTGTCTTGCTCCTTTTGACAAAAGCTTGAAGCAATCTGCAGTTGTGTGTCTTCATCCATCACTATGGTAACGGGAAGGAAGGGCTCATGTTGTGGACGAGTATTAAAACCATTTGTAACATTTCCATTAATGAAAACCATTAAGACATCAAAAACTCATGTGGGGGGAGGGGGGCTCCTCTAAAGAGCCCTACACACTACAAGGTACTGCTGGTAAAGATGAACAACAAAACCTTTGTGCCTCTCTGGATAAGGACGTGTAGCTAAAAGGTAAATCAGGGCATCTGCAGGTTTCAGGAGGTCCTGTGATTAATGTAAGGCCAACTTATACTTTTTAAAGTTGCTAGTCATAATGGCCACTCAAAGTTAGTTGTGCCAAGAAAAAAAAAAATATATGTATATATATATATATATATATATATATATATATATGCATCTGTGCTGTGATTTTGTCTGTCCTAATCACTGTGATGGTGTGGGAGAAAACAGGGAGGGAAAGGAATGTGCAGCTTCCTCAGATCGATGCTTCGTGTTTCCTTCCCATGAGCAATAAAACGGAGGAGCAAAAGCCTCTTTTCTAATATGCATTATTTAACTTCTGACGCAAAGCCGCAGGCAAAATTGTCAAACTTAAAGATGGGAGAGTCCTACATTATCAAACGTGTGTCCCCATTAGAACTGCTGCTGCTAAACTGGTTCCATCACTCACACCTACGGTACATCTTTGGTTGAGCGCCGCTGAATGACGCCGGGTTGAGCTCCACCATCTTCAAGTTCATGGTTCAGCTACAAACTGGGCTGCACTCATTTACACAATGCTGATGCTGTGACACAGAGACTCTTTTCTCCAACACAGGGGTCTGGCAGGAGCCAAGGTGATGAACACAGCGTGAGACAGCGAGGTCCATTTCTCTTAGCTGCTCTGTCGTCTTACCTTCTGACTCTCCTCTCTGCTCATGGCTAACGCCAGCTGGAGCTGCAGCTCCTCCTCCCCGCTGGTCTGAGGCCGGGCCTGCTCCAGGTCTGAAGCGGCGCGGGGAGACGAGGCCGAGGCTGCAGAGGGAACAGGCATGTACAGGCGGGGTGAGGAACAGATGCACAATGGCACGGAGCCCAGGGGGTAAGGAGCTCGTTTGAATATTTTGCGATCGGGTCGATAGAAGGGGGAAGGAGGGTGTTGAAGGAGAGGCTGCAAATATGTTTGCTAAAAAGCAACTAATTATCAAATCCTTAAAAATTCCTTCACAAAATGTGGAACTACTGATACTTGGAAACAAGATGTAAAGAAATGAAGTCCGACTGGAGAGCTCCTGTTTAAACACCTGGCTATGGTTAGAAAAGCGCTTAACTAGAGATGGCAGAAGTCTAAATAATACGTTTTACAAGCGACTAAAGGAGAAAACAAAGAAAAGTTCAGGGGTCCAGATGAGTTTGAAGTCAAACTCACAGTTGAAGGAGCACGGCGAGCCTCTGGAGCGGCTGAATTCCTCCCCGTACAGCACAGCCATGCTGGGCTGACTTGTACGTCTGCCAGGGTGATATGATGGAGGAATACCTCCGTACACGCCGCCACCGCTGCCGCCACCGCCGCCAACCCCACCCCCACTACCCCCTCCCGTTCCTCCCCCGGCCATTCGCTCCTTGGTCTTCAGCGCCTGACTCCTCTCCTGGCGCAGTCGGTCCTCGTCCTTCAGCAGACACACCAGCTGTCGCGCTTTTTCTCTAACGTTCGCCCCCTGGTCTCTGCCGTCCCGATCCACGTACTGGAAGTCGCGCAGGGTCTGAAAGCCAGACACAAAGACACGGTTTTACTAACACGTTCAGCTTTTTTTTTTGTTTTGTTTTACCTTTGAGTAATGTGGAAGGACAGGTTGGCTTTTTATCCATTAAGGTTTCGATAGTATATTTAAAGCAGAAGTGGCGCAAAACCTAATTATCGAACCCATGATTTCAAATATATGGAGGATTTCTACATGTTTCAAAGTGCTAAATAAAGCTGTATTGTATTGAACCAAGATATGATAAACTTGTAAAAAGATAAATGATTATAAAATAGAAAGGTGAATTTGTAGTAGTTAAAAAAGAAACTGTAGCTAATATTATACTGATTCAAAAGGCGGTATCTTTCTAATGTTTATTTCTGATAAGTTTGATGATTATGCCTATGGTAATATGATAAAGCCAACAAAAGTAGTGTGTAACATATTTGTTTAAAACAGAAACTGAAAATACCACGTAGGACACTGCAATAAAAGCTTTCGAAATCTGACTCCTTTTTGCATTAATTTAAATTTAAAAATTCTTTATTGATCCCAAAGGGAAATTAAATGTAGAAACTCATTAATTCAGAATCTTCACAGAGTTATTGCGGATTACAATGGCTGTTGGCAGGGAACATCCCCTCTAGCAGTCTGTGTTACAGTGAATCTGAGGAAGCTTCTCTTAATGAATAGTTTGGATGATTGTGAAATTAGATCATTAAGCTTCTTAAAACACATTTAAAGTAACTAAATAAATAAAGTTAGTTCTTAACTATTTATTCCCCTGAACTTCACATTTTGTCACATCGCTACCACAAACTTCAGTGTTTTGTACGCATGTGATTGTGCATACGACACAGTTTTGAGCTGAAAACTAATGGATGGGTTTTAAGATTTTTATAAATAAAAATCTGAATAATGTGAATGTAAAAAAAAAATTATATTTCAAAGAATCACTATTTACTGCAAAAATAGCTCAAATTTGATCATGCTGCTTTAAATGCACCATTAAATATCCAATCTTTTGAAGTCTTGCCACAGACTCTCGGTTGAATTTAGGTCTGGACTTTGACTAGGCCATTCTAACACATCGGTATTATCTGTTGTAGTGCTGACTGATCATGACTCAGTCAAATACATTAAAGTTGTAATCTGAAAAAATGTGTAAAAGTTCAAGGATTATGAAGACTTTTACATGCTTTTTTGGTTTTGGCTTATGTTTCTTTTTAAGAAGCTACAGCATAAGATGCAGCAGGAGAAGAATTGGTCTTCAGGGTCAATAATAATACTAACAATAATGATAAAAAAAAAAAAAAACAGCTGAACTGCAGCTTGTCCTGAAGAGTAATTATGCACCTGAATGGTGAATGCATTTTCCCGGCACTGCTGGGCTACCCTCTCCGATCCCGTCTTCAGCAGGTAATCCAGCAGAGTCAGCGCCTGGACTCAGACACGGATTTTGGAAAATATTTGCACAGACGTGCTTTAACTTTCAGTTCTCTTCAAAGAACACATATTGTTGTCAGGGCGTAGAGAAACAGACCTTGTAGACGTGCCTCCAGTTCTTGCCGCTGTCGTTGAGCCGTTTCCACACCATCCCCATGACCTCGGCGAACGCCACGACGTTGAAGGTCAGGTCAGCGATTTCTGACATGAGAGACGACGACGGGCCCCATGGATCGTTGGAAGTGGCCTCGCGTACCTTCACAGTGACAAGAACGGGATCTCTGAGTGTTCCGCTTCTCCTCGGGCATCGGCATCAGGAAGCAATCCAAATGTTTAAACACACCGAAGTAACGGACAGAATATATTTTGACTCACATGCAGTAAGGTGAAAATCTATTCGCCCTCCCCCCTACAGATTTCTTCTGCTTTTAAATTTCTACTTATGATACTGAATGTTTCAGGTAACCACACAAAATTTATTTATTAGACAAATACAAAAAAAAAAAAAAAGAAAAAAAAAAGAGTTCAGATGATGATTTCATTTGTTCGGAGAAAATACTCATCAATTCTGTGGACTGATGCGACAAAAGTGGAACATTTTGGAAGGCTGAACGTTTCATTACGTCTGGAGTAATGAAACGCTCACACAGCATTTCTGAGAAATAAACATCCTAACTGAAGTCAAACATGGTGGTGGCGGCGTGATGGTCTGGGACTGCTTCGCTTCTTTCAGGCCTGAACTACTTGTAGTAATAGACAAAACCGTGAATTCTTTATGAGAATGTCTGACTATCACTTTATGACAACTGCGCCACTGTGCAGCCCACAAAAAAAGTGAAAATTAAAAAAAAAAAGAAAGCGTAATGGGGCAAATACTTTTCAGGAGCACTGTAGGTGTCACTAAAGGAGTCAGAAGACAATAAATACCTTGATCTCTGCTTCTGAATAGTTGTGCACAATGTTCTTCACCTGTCGTCGCAGGGCGGAGGTTGTCATGGTGAAATGTGACGAAAGCAAAAACAAATACTCCACAAGTTTAAAAAAAGGAGGGTAGGGGATCAGCAGGCTGAAGGAGAGAAGAGGCAGCTATGCCAGGGAGGGCTCCTCTTCTCTGTCACGACTCTCAGGGCGCTCCTGCAACAAACAGCCAGGGAGATAAATTAATATATAAAGTATATAAAGTATAAATAGACTGTATAATCAACTTATAAACATTGCTTTTTTCTTTTTTTTTTCTGCACCGGTCAGATGTTGTTCCCATGAATCGCCAGGAATAATAATATCCTTCCTCCGCTCTGCAGAAATAGTTGTGCTTTTGAGGACGGCTAAACAGCTGGCAGACTTTAAATGACGTTTATTTCTAAACATGGGACCGTGAGCGAGCTTCTCCTCGGCATCATAAACACAGCCTGCTGATGGAGAGCTGCGGCCCAGTCACACAGAAGTAGGTCACATAGTTTCTGGCTCTCAGGTGTCTGATGAAGCTTCTTGAATTGAAAATCATTTTTATCCAGGCCAGAATCTACACTCACAAACACACGCACACACACACACACACGCACGCACGCACGCACGCACGCATACACGTTCCCAACCCACTTTTCTGTTCTAAACTCCTATTTGAGAGGGAACACGGGGGAATTGATGACTCTGGGCTCCCATGATGTTGTCGCTCTCCCTCTGATTACAGTAAGCATCATTAACCCAGTAAACCCAGGCTGATTTAGTGTGACCTCAATCGTTTCAATCTAATCTGACTTGAAGGCAACCTGACTTTTTCTATTTCTTCCGCTGTAAGATTTATGATCTTTTCCCCGATAGCCTTAGGAAACGCTCGGATGGATCACAACCTAAGGTCACCTCTTGCGGTTTAGCTTTTTTTTCTTTTTTTTTTTACACTCAGAGCATCTTTCATCCCTTTCTCAAACACTTTACTCTGAAATAAAGACTCTGCTGTCCTCCGATCTTTGTCCCTAATCTTTGACGTAGCTGAGCTGAGATTTGACTAAACAGCTGTTTCTTCTCCGTTGTCGCCAGACATTTTTAAAGGTTTGGTTTCCCTGGGAAAAAAAACAGCTAAATTTGTGAATGCATACAAAGAAACAACAACAAAAATACTCCATTTGGGTGATTAAAGTTAAAAAGAGTCAACAGGCTGTTTCTGTCTGAAATGTTTCTCCAGTGAAGTGTAATGCTTCCCTTTGCTCGTCGAGTCTTAAAGCTATGAGATGATTCATAAAACAGCTGAGAATTTCAAATCATTCGTTGTCTGAAATAAGCAATTTATTGATAGAATAAATCAGTAAGTAGAACTTTCTTTTTTACTGAAATCTATAGCAATTTGGAATTAAAAGGGAATAAAAAACATCTAGTGATGTGATTTAACATTACATCTTATTTGATAATAGCTTTCAAATCTCCAACTTCAGTTTATACTTAAATAAAAACATTTTAGCGCCTAAATCCAGTGCATTAAAAAGATAAATGGTCATAACATTTTTGCAAAAAGTTTCCAAATGACCTGAAAACAAAATGTTTCTCTCAGAAAAACGGACTCACCCCCTTCTATTTTGGCATAACTCTCCAAATTTGTTAAATTTGCGTAAAAACTTGAAGAGGTTTCACAAGGCAAAGTGGGTAAATATTTTTACCGAGCAAGAGAAAAAAAAAAAAAAAAAAAAATTTATTTAAAAAATTGTTTCAGCAAAGCGTCAAAGGATGTGTAGACTCATGCAACCAAAATTACTGCAACATATTTTTTTTCTGATTTGTTTTTCAGATAAATTGTATAAGATAAGCGTCATGCTGTATGTAGAAAACGTTTTGAAATCATTTTTCACGCCCTGATTTATTTTTTTAAACAGCACAAAAATCTGGAATCTGAACAGTGGTGTGAACATGTTCAAGCAAGTGAAGGTTCTTCCACGAATCGATTCTTTTTTTAAATAATCTATCTGAATACAAACACAGCTAAAAGTGCTACTGAACATCACCTAACATGTTCCTAAGAACATAAGCAGCCTGTTCGTTTTAGATGCATACAAAGTGTGTCACACGTGCCTACATGCATGACCTAATCTGTTGTCATAGCTGTGCATATGTCTTAGTCATAGGCCAGGGAGGTTTTCGGTGCGTCACGCTGCCATTCTTTGAGTGCAATATGCAGAATGGAAAACGAAAACAAGCTAAGGTTGTTCCGCTGCCATCTCGTCTTGTGATTTGCATAAGTTTTATCACCGAAATGCTCACTTTTTCCTCTCTCTTTTTTTTTTTGTCACATAAGATGTTTTATTTTACCTCTGTTCATTTGTTCTTCCTGTAAGGCACTTCAAAGTACCCGGTACGTCAATAGTGCTGTACAGTAAAACTTGTCCTGAGATGCCTTCTCAAAGGACAGCGATCAAAATAAGTGCTAATCAATGTGTAGGTCTATTATTAAAATAAATAAAGCAGGGAGAACCTCAGAGAAAGGTTTTTTTTTGTTGGCTCTTGAAGTAAACAAATGCTCTTACAAAGTTTTCTAAAAAAAAAAGTAAAATTACATTTATGTCTTTGCTTTGTGCTATTTCCAGCCTGACAAATCAATGAGATCCAGGAATCCAGCAATCTTTATCATTCGTTTATTATTGCTGACAGGTTAAATATTCAGATATTTCACTCTCTCAAGCAGTACTGTGCGTACATTAAATAAAATTAAAAATGCAGACATTATATACAAACAAAAAACTAAAATTTCTATGATATTGGAATGTCATTGGAGATCTAAAGCAGAAAAAGGGCTTTGGACTGTTGCCCTTTAAACGGAAAAGACAATTTCCAATTTTTTAGGTTCTCAGTTGTTTTCTGTTTGCCAAATGTTTACTATTGTAGACTTGTATCGGGGGTCGAACAAAACAGTTTTAAGGGCCACTCTTTAGACACCCCTGCACCAAAGACTTGCATGTACAGTATAATTTCATTGCATAACATTTTTGTATCTTTATATTTACATTATTATAAATTCTAAAAAAAATTGTCTAAAGCCTTATCCAAATTGATTCAGGCCTTTTATTTACTTTACTAGTTAGACATGTATTACTCCTCGTCCCCCGGCCCCCCAAAAATCTATTTGATTAGGTCTTAGTTTAATACTGTAGGCAAAAGGCAGAAAAAAAAGACAAAACTATAAATAAACCAATAGTTTAATCACCTGAGTCCATATTGAGCACTTTGTGCAACTGTGCTATTATCCAGTCTATTTAAAACCACAAAATCAAATTGTCTGATAACCGTTCACTGCTGCTCTATAACCGCTCACACTGGAAGGATGCAGAGGACGCCTCGTTTGGCTGAAAAGCCAACATCAGCAGCAGCAGCAGCAGCGGGAGCCTAAGATGCAGATGGCTCTGTTACAAAACACTGAGGGGACGAGCATGAAGGAGACTGTATAGGTGCAAGAGGCACACAGAGAGAAGGGCGAGTATGAAGAGGGAACTAATGCTCAGCAGCTGCAATCAGTATCAGCTTTCTGCACAATCATCTTCGACCGGCTCACACACCGATGCACACGCTCACTCGCTAGCTCGTGCTAAAAAACTGGAAATGTGTTTGGAAACACTATGATTCGGTCGTCTTCGTCTGAGCCTCGCGTCACAGCAAACATGTCAAATTGAGGAACTAATACGACACACAGAGCGTAAACAGTGCTCTGATGAGGAATTCAACGTTGTCATACAAACAGTATGACGAGAGAAATTTCATTTGATGGTCAAAATCCCGTGATGTGTAAAATACTCCCAGGGCCAAAGTGTTGATGTAAAGATTATAACACATAAAACCAAAAAGTGGAATAGCATCCCAAGATAACCAGATGTTTGCCTCTGAGACGTAGCAGACTCATATAATGCATTTGCTCAAACTGTGGAGACATTCTGGGAATTAACAGAATAAATCACACAGAGCAATGTTAGGTTGAAAGCAAACATTTTGTGACTCACACACATCTATCACTAGCGTGCAACAGTTCAAATAAAATTAAAGTATATTTAGTCTTTTTATTGAAATACAAGTTTTCAGTTACATCAACTTTTTCATATGCTTTTCTATAACACACCGGACTTTAGGGTGTGAAGTATGGCTTAGTGCAGTAGTCATGATTTGTTATCGACCTGTTTTAGTAATTCACTTTTGATGTAGCAGTGTGATAAAGGCCTGCTGTTTTGAGCTCTACTCTGTCAGCTCAAGGCTGGGTTTTCTTCAACCAAATGTTGATTATTTATAGCACATTGTAATTATTGACACGTGACTATAAAAATAGATTACATTTTGTAGACTCAGTGTTTTTTTATTCTATTGTGAGGTTTTAGATCCATGTGTCCAGTTTAATAAAATAGATATAAAGATAATTAAGAGGCAGGAAGCAGTGAAATTACTCTTTTCAATCTTTGAATGAATATTCACTCTGACCTGATGGCAAAAATCTTTGGAGATCAAAACAATACAAATTAAAAAAAGCAGCTTCAATTCACTATTATATAGAAAAACTAATTTTTTTGCTCTTATTAATATTTTTTTCTGGTGGTATACTACATTCTAGGCAGGGACAAAGTAAACCTGACTGGTCTCAGAATAAAACACTAGCAAAAAATAAATAAAATTCCTGCCTTCAATAATCTTGTTTAACATATAAAATATAGGCCAACTTTTATTTCAATTACACAGATCAATAAGTCATTGGGCCATTAGGGATAATAAATATTCATTAAACTGAAACAATCCAAGCAAATCATGTTAAGGTAAATTATCTTTTTGGCTCAAATTAAATGCTTTAAACACAACATACAAAAAAAGTTGCAAAACATTTTTTTAAAGTTTTCTGGCATTTAGTAAATAGAAATAATTTTAGTGATTTTAACTGATTTAAAACAAGAAAACGTAGATCTGATTTGACTTCAGATAGTCAGAAATGTATTTTTATTCAAATGAAAATATCTGGTTTCAACGGTGACCCACGCCAGAAACTGAGTCTGAATGCAGTAATAAAGTGACAAAGTGGGGCTTCAATTCATTTATCGACTTAAATAATGTTCAAGTTTTAAAGTCCCGTGCGTCATTTTCTCGGAATTAACGTCACCCCGTTGTCCGAAAGTGCGCATGCGTGCTGGGGTAGCAGGTGCACGCTTCATTATTTTACATCTTGCCTACATAAGAAAAAGCAATAAGCAGGTGGAGCTTGGTGTGCAGTGACTAAGCAGTGGTTACCGGTAGAGGACTGAAATGATGGTGGATTTTAGCGGGTGGCGATGAAGGGGGAGATGAGGGAGGCAGTGGGGCCGTCAGAGGTCTGCATAAACTCCCCCTCTTTACCCCCAACGCGTCTTAACACGCCCCCTCATGCGGTGGATGCGAGGATTTGCCATGTGAAGCATCGATTGCCTTCTTGCATTACACACGTATGCTAAAAGGTAAAGCGACGGTGGAGGCAATGCAATGAAAACGAATACGCAAATTAAAGGGCAACGGTGTGTGTGTGTGTGTGTGTTGTGCTTCTTACCATGTCCGCTGCTCATCTCTCGCCCTGACCGCCGAGCATCCTCGCCTTTCTGCTGCCGCTGCTTTCCTCTCAAAACTCCTGCCGCAGACACAGATCAGCTCTCTCCCCTCTGCCGGGATCAGCCTAGCGGCGTAGGGACAAGTCTCTTCCCCGCATCTTCGTCCTGCTTTTAAGAGTCTCCAGATCACTGCGGGTCTTTTGTTGTTAGTAAAAACAAAAAATAAATTTAAAAAAAATAAGACAAAATTAAAAAAAAAAAAAAAGCCGTAAAGTTAAAAGGCTTTCAGCGGCGATCCCGGCCTATCCTGGAGGATCCGAGGCTTTTCGAGCAGGCAGTCGGTGACTGTGAAATCCGCATTGGATAAACTACAACACACCGCTCACTCACTCACTCACTCACCCTCCCTCACTCTCCCAGGCCAACCACGCTGAGCTGAGCTGCACACACGCAGCAGGGGAGAAGCGGGTGACAGAGAGGAGGGACGGGGGCGCGTCTTTTGCTTCGTCAGCGATTAACAGCATCCACTGAGGGGAGACTGAAGGCGTGAGCAAATACTCGAATACTCGGTGTTCAGTAAAACAAACTTTATTGATTCGTCAACAAAAGTCACGTCTGATTGTTTAGTCCTTCCTCGTTTCACCCAGCCTGCCTTTCAGGCGCAGCAGTGTGGGGTCTGTCCATCACCCACCTTAATCTCTTCCATCAGGTCACACAGATTGCACACAAGTTCTTCCATCCAAATATAAACCTGCCAGAAAACCAACACGGAGACTTAATTTCAGCATCTTTTCATACATTATTCATTCACTTGTCCCTTTTGTTTGACTTTTGTTTAATACATGGGGGGAAATTGAATAATTCATCAAGAAAATCTTAAGATTAGTTTAAGACTAGCTCGGCTACTGGCAATTCTTCTCATTTCACCGCTCCCTCTGGGCTCTCTCCCACTGAAGTGGATTCCTCTGGTAGAATTTCAAGCGGGCCAATCAGCAAACAGGAGGACTTGTGATTGATGACATCGATTTTCTGTATTGTAGTCTGCCTATAGTCTTAGCAATGTCCGTTCAGTCTGAGTTGGCTGTACGCTTCCAAATGGGTGGTCGTTTACAGCACAGGCAATTTTTGGTAAGCTTCATAGCGTCAAACTGGCTAAATTATCTTAGGGTCAAACCAAAACTTAAAATTTAAGACTTTAACAGAGTCCATACCTCCAGTGAGGAATCATTTCTCAATAGCCGAGGGTCCAGACCCTCTATCTGAGGCAAAACATAGGCTAGTTTAAGACCAGAATTACTGTTTGTGATCATAAAGAAAGAATTTAAAAGGTCTACCAAAAAACATGGGAGAGGATGGTAATAAGAGATAATTAGCAGGTAGCTGAGATATTAACTTAGTGTTGTGAGAATGTACCAGACAAATCCATTGAAAACAAATGCTCAAGTGGAATGTGATGTGAAGAAAAATATGTTCTTCCTCAATTTTTTTTTTCCGCTAATGGCATAAATCCATCTATAACAGTTTGCAGAGTGTTACTGGTGGCCTTGCTGCAGAGTGATCCAGGAATGACCTGCTGTATGGGATCTTTTTGCCGTGGATCTTACCTGGTCTCAGTATAGTACAGGGTGTTCACACGAGGCTTGTTATCAAGCCAGTGTGTGTGTGTGTGTGTGTGTGTGTGTTTCCCTTCAGTTCAGTAGGAGTTTTTATTTAGGTTTTTTTGTTTTTTGGAACTGTTTGTGTCACTCTGACACAAATAGTCCAGCAGATGGCTATTTAGAAAAAAGTTTGCATTTTCACCAGAGGATTCTCAAATATGTACAAAGTCTTTCTGGAAAGCTTTCGAAATACGCTTCCAAAAACAAGAGACTATAACGTAACTCGTTCCAACCTTGCATTTTGTTCATATCTACACCCACATATTTGTTGTTGTGCTCCACTACCTTCATCTCCTCTCCAAGAATGGAGCGTTTGACTAATTTCTGTTTTTTTTTTTTAAATTTTATCATTCTCAGAATTTCTTCTTTGCTCTTCTTAACACTGAAGATATGTTTTTTTTTTTTCCACATCATGCTACAAGGTGTTCCACGTGTCCCCTGTACATACTGTAGCTTTTAGTTCGACATTCAGACACAACGCTTCCTTCAAACCTCATAACCTCCTGCATGCTTTCAGTCGCTCAACACTTCGGTCTCAACCAACTGTGGTCTGTCTGTCAGGTGGTTGTGGAAGCGTCCTTCATTTTTTTTTTGTTCAAAATAACTTTCTTTGCAGTTTCTGGTTTTTGAACATTATGAAAGGAAAGGGAATCAAAGAACTTGTGCTTCATGTCTTAGCGCCAATGTCAAAAATGTTGCTAGATTTGTGGGCTCGTTGCCTTTCCTGAAAATAAAAAGTTGGTAGAGGGCCTTGAAAGTTCCTAAATAATAACAGTCAATAACTTGTTGACTGTTGCCAACAAGTCGCTAAGTTGGCAACAGCGCTTTCCCTCGTCCTGACCACACTCCTGATTAAACACCTCCGCTTATCCCAACGCGTGGCCACGCCCCTCAGTATCTCTTGACTCCACCCACTTTGGTGGAGTTTTCAGAATTTGTCTGTGTGCGGGGTTAAGCTTTCACGGGAGGTTAAGTTACACTTTAAAGAGAACTACAGCTGTCCCAGGTACTAGCCTAGGGTCAGGGGGATGCATCTATGTGACCCCTTGACCTCCTATCTCCTCAGTAGTAGTCAAGGAAACTTTAATGAAGCATCAGAACCTCAGAGACCGACCCAGGAATGTCTCAGAGTGAAGAAAAAAAACAAAATAAAACTCTCAGTGATGCATTGTGACAAAACAAAACAACATAACTTGCCTTTTTATGCAAAGCTTTTTTGTAGATCAAGAGGGTTTCTTCTTCTGCGTTTTCGAGGTCGGACAACAAACTAAAATCAGACTCAGACTCCTTATTTTGTCTGTCTTTGGAACGCTTGCCTGCGTGATCCGTTCTTTTGTTCTTCGTGACACAGAACTGTGGAAAGATTATGCCGAGTTGCGGTTAAACACAGTTGCAATTTACAGAGCAAACAGAGATGTTAGCGCGTAGCTGTGCGAGCATCTGTCAAAGATGGCTTGGAGTGGCACAGGTGCAAATAATTCACACCTTGGCATGCTGTCTGAGAGCAGGTGCACATTTGTCACAAAATGTTCCGTTTCCATGGCGCCCTATGAGTAATAAACTGTACCTTACCCAATGACTCAACCTTTACAAGGAGAGGAAAATCTGCTCAGCAGAATACGAACAGATAAAGCTGCGTCGCCGATCTTCTGGTAAATGTCAAAGATGGTGAATAATAAGTAGTGAGCAGTTAGAGCAGAAGTTACAGGACGAGGGTCAGAAAAGAAGTTCCTGGTGATTAAGGGGATTTGGAGAAAGGGGTGGAGGGGTATTAATATTCACTTATATTTTTGTCATCTCTTTGTGTTACAACCACAAATCATATATACTGTATATCCTATAGCAGGACAATGACCCTAAACAGCCAAAGCTCCACGTAGAAAGGTTTAGATCAAAGCACATCCACATTTTAGAAAGTCAAAGCCCAACTGATGTGGATGCAGGTGGTTAAATGTTAAAGCCGAAGTTCACGGATAATATAAGGCTGACTGAGGATGAGCTATAAATATGCCGGTTTTTAGATTTTCATATGAAATGTATGAGAATAAGTGCTCTACTTGGTTTTCATCTAAAGCATACAGTCCTGATAAAATTCACAGAAGTTGTAGTTGTAATATAGCAAAGTGTTAAAAGGCACTGTTGCGTAATTATTTTGTCCAAACAAGTCTTCATATTAAAAACTGAGCAGCCGCTGTGTTGCTAAGTTACTTCTACAACCCTGAAAAAGGACACAACTCTTGGCAGAAAGCCTTTATTTTCTATGTTATTGGGCGAAATGTACCGACTTAGAACAGAAGATCATCACTTCGGGACTCTGCCTGTCGTCACACACCATCACAGAGACGAGCAAATTGATAAGATTCACCACAAAGCCGTGGAACAGATATGAAGTGACAAATCTAAAAAAAATATATATAATAATTTTAAGGATCTAGTGAAGATAAACGAATATTGCAGACGAGTGCCTTTCTGAGGACGAGTGTGTGGTTATGTGGGGGCGGCAGTCAGTAGTAACAAAACACTAGGATAGCAGATGAATGGATGACGGCTTGACAGCCTGGTTAAAGTGGAGTCTGACTCATGATCGGATCAGCTCAACTGTTGGATTCAGTGATGTGTTTTGTGGGTTACAAATTTAATTCACGCTTATAATCCAAAGTGCTCTCGACTCCGCGGCAAAACAACTGCAAACTCTCCTCGGTCTCTTTGTTCGTGATGGTTAGTGAGCTGCAAAGGCATTCGCCGCCACACAGACACGGCCTCTCTTCTGCGCCACTCTGACACTGACGTGCATTTACCTCTAACGAGCTGTCATACTCTTTGGAGTCTGATCTGCCGAGTTCCTTCATTTTCATTCTCTTCTCTGCTCCACCCAATGAGTCTCTCCTTTCATCGGAGGGCGACAGAGATCCCACATCTAGGGCGTAATGTAGAAAACAGGAATCCTGAACAGGAGAATGTTTCATCTGATGCAAAGTCCAAAACAAACAGTTGAGCTGTGAAAATTGAAGCTAATTTACTGAAATTTGTTGCAGTGGAGCTTTTTCCTCTTTTTTTATTTTTTTCCCCCCAAAGGTTAATAGTTTGATTTGGCTTTATCTCTGTTTAGATACATCAGAATACGTAACAATAACTACAAACGAAATTAAAAAATAAATATCCCTCCTTGTACTCTTCAAGAAATTTTTTTTGTTTAGTTTGTAACATGGACTGCAGCTCTCGATTTGAAAATGTGATTCCTTCTAAGTGAAGTCCATCGTAACAGACAATAACGCCTCATCATAGCAGGAAAGTATGTAATTATGACATTATTGTTGAATCCTGCAAAAAAAAAAAAAAAAAAAAATATATATATATATATATATATATACATACATATAATGTTGTGCTTGATATAGTATGATATAAGCAGTTAAAATATCTTGGTGTTTTAGTTATTTCAGTTATCAGATCTTTCTTTTTGCAATCTTTTAACAGTCAGCGTCTGGTTTTATGGCTCATCAATCTTGATTGCCAGTTAAAAAGCGTCTTAAATGAATGAATGACTGAATAAATTAATTAGTTAAATCTGTATTTAACTAATTAATTAAATTAGTTAAATATAATTTAACTAATTTAATTAATTAGTTAAATTATATTTAACTTATATATTCTGAACATATAAGCAACAGCAGACATTTTATCCAATTTAAGTTGTTGTTCTGGCCCTCTGGAGCTTTTCACAACCATCCAGGACTTTGATGGTGTTTTTATGACATTGTTCATGCTGTTAGGCTAACTGAGCTAAATGTTTAGGCTGTTTCTCTATCATGTCACGTAGAGATTTCCTCATCTATTAACGTAAGGGCTTGTATTTTCTGAACAGTATTTCTAAAATATTTTGTATTTCGACTTTGATTTCGGGCTGCAGCTATCGATTATTTTAGTAATTGATTATTTGTCATCGAGTAATCAGATAGAAAAATCAGATAGAAAAATGGCCATATTCTACAGATTATTCATATAAGCTTATTTTGAGCAGTATATTAAATACAATAAAAATGCAAATAAACAACTAATTAACTTTAATTAATTTTTTAAAATAAGAAAATAAACATTTTGTGGCCTAGAATGCAATAACATTGTATTCGTTTAGTGCATTCTTGATCATTTGTAGCAAAGTATGCATCTGCAACTAAAAGAATTACTACTTGACTTGACCTATTTAATATTTATTCATCAATAGTTGAATAGCGAAAGGCGTCTAATAGAAGATTTCTTTAAAAAAAAATTAAACCAGGTGAAAGTAAAACTATGCCACTTGAAGAGTTCTGGGTAGAACAAAGAAGGATTTTTATCTTATCTACAAAATGTATATATTTTTTGCACAATTTTGGCTAATTTACTACTCTGAGGAGTGTTGTTCTTTCACCAATTGAGATGTTTCAGAGTCTCTACGCTCTAGTTAGCCACTATTCAATTACTGAACTAGTTGACAATTATTTCAATAATCAGTTCATCACGATTAATCCAATGAACTGTTGCAGCCCTACCTTGATTCAAAATAAAACCCTATAAGGGATTGGAGAAATAGCACAGTAAGTGTAAGATAATGTAGTTTTGTCATAGAGCTGAGTGTCACAATGAGCTGGGATTATGAGTTCATGCCTCCTACCAGACCAAGTATCTTTCTCTGGAAGGCCCATCGCAGCTCTGAGCCTGCAGGCTTCAGTTCCCATCAAGTCCAGAAGGTTTATCCACAGTTGTCGCCTGCAGAGGGCACCAAACACCACCACCACAAACAATATTATTGTACAATTTCTAGGCGCAAAACATACATGTAAAAAACAGAACCTGCATAATGCATGTTTGTGTATTGCACTATGTACTATTACCCAATAATTGCCGGAGTTAGAAGGTGGTGTTTTCTAGCGGGAGGATCACAAAGTTGCAGATGCAGAGACTTGAGCTGGGAAATGCTCTCTTCTTTGATAGGATCCTCATCAGGCAGAGACAATACAGCCTGGAGGATAAAAACAGAATATTATACAGGTGTTATAGATGACATAGACCTGTTTATGTCTTACTTTTGTTCTGTGATGTGCTGCAACATGGTCTACGTTTGCTCAAAGCAGTTACCTAGAAGCGTCATGTTAGCATTACCTGTCGAAGAGTGTTAAAAGAGAGATCCCAGGTGCCCTCAGGATTCACCTGTTGCCACAGTGTCTTTAGGGCCTCTACTGGCTGGTAATGGTACCGCAACTAAAACCATAACAATGGAATAAATTTAACAATACTTTCAAGAGTTTACTTTTACATTTTCTTTGTTTCTGCACAGCTTTGGCCTACAACATTACAAGATTTATGATACAATCCTTAAAGGCAAATAAAGAAACAAAGTAAATACACATATTTCAATAAGAGGGAAAAAATATTTTCAGAACAGTAAAATAGTTTGTAGATATGAAGAGGTTTTTCTTTTTTTAAAAGGTAATGGTTTCTATAGTCACACAATTATAACCTAATAAAGTAAATATTGAACTAGAATTCAAATATCTCATTAAAACATTAGACACTGAATCTATGAATGAAGGAGAAAAGAAACAAACATTTCATATTGAACTCCAGATTTTAAAGTGAAAGACAGCATCACCAGTGTTTGAGGAAAAAAAACATTATGCTTGGTGAAAGGTTTTCTTGAATTTTAAAACATATGGATATGTAAAACGATAAAATGTCAGTTTATAAATAAAAAACATACATACACACATCTTTTAAAGTGTGTTGAAAATTGTAAAAATAAATTCAACATTATTTTTTATTCTAGTTCAGTCATTAGCAGCAGGCAATTTCAAAGACTTGCAGAAGGTAGCTCTGGCTATTTTATGAGAAACGCTTTTCTCTTCTATCTCAACGATAGAAGAGAAAAGAGGCAATGCTTTCAGCTAAAAGTTTGGTTGCACTTCAAAGACCTTCTTTAAAGAAGCTAACAAAACTGATTAACACACTTCTAGGTGGTGGTGGGGGTTTTTTCCCACTCACATGGATAAAATTTCATTTAAAGCCATTCTCCTTTGTAATCAATAATAAATAATTAGCTCGCCCCAAAGCGTGCTAATATGAATAGGAGTTGTAATAACGGCTCTGCTTAGGAAGAACGAACGCCTTCAGCAGGCGGAGCGCACGATGAATGGATCCATTACTGGGTCATCTCACACTGACTCACGAGCTGTGACTAGGGATCTGCAATAGACACTGTCAAAGAAAAACCTACGACACGTCAGGACTGAGCTGAAAGGGATTAGAAGAAATGACCGATGCGCTTCAAATGACACGTGTCATGGTGTCGAGGATTAAAACAGGCAAGCAGCTCAGTCACCACAACATCAAAACTACCACAACGAAGGTAGCGGTTTGGTGCAGGGCCGCATTCACGTGACGACCTACAAAGACGTGTTTTGGAGTATTCAAGCTTAACCACGAAGTTATATTTGGTCCATTTACAATTTTCAACAGCGTCATGGTCAGTACTTTTAAAAGGTGTTCCAGAAGATTATGCTAAGACACCTTTATCCATAGTAAACAACAATTTTGAATGTGCAGTTTGGATAAAATGGTTGAAACACTTAATTAGCATCTGCCGAGCATGGTGTCATCAAATTAAAAGTTAGTACTTGTAGTAGTACAGCAGGTGCATTCTGCGAGGTGGATTAAATAACGAAGGTGCACTATATAAAAATTAAAATGTTTAAATGGATGTAAAACCAACAGCTGATTGAGCGACGCTTGAACACAAACGGGTGTCAGAGGAGAACGAGCCAAACACATTGACATCATTTCTAATAATAATAATAAAGGAGGCTGACATTACGTTTTTGAAATAGTCCTGACCTCCAAACTACAAAAAAACTTCTGAAATGTGTTCAAAAGCCACGTCTGCTTCAGAAAATCAGTCACTTTAAACGATGTCAAACATTAAGACAGGAATATGTCAGCGGTAACCAAATGCTTTTTTGTTGGCAAGGAAAAGCATACGAGAATAAAGTTGTAACAATATTATACGAGAAAGTCAGTAAGCTGAGAAAAATGAATAATGTAGGAGGTTTTCTCCAGGAGGTAATGTACCCTGGGGTTTTTGTTCTGGAACAGCTGTTCTTCAGTGAGGTAAAGCTCTGCAGGTGACTTGGGCCTTTCAGGGACGTAGATAACCCTGACGAGCCCGTTCAACATCGATCGGCAGTACTTTTCCACAACAATCTTTTCCAGCTTGTTCTGTTAAACACACACACACGCACACACACGCGCGCACACACACCCACACACACACGCGCACACACACCCACACACGAAACAAGATGAAGCCACAAAAGTGCACTTTTCTATGAACGGAAATGACTTTTTCATTCCTTTCTGAAACACACTGTGCTGGTGAAGTCACCTCTAAGAAGCTCCTCTGATCTGCAGTTTGGTCCAGTTTGATGGCCACCCCACTCAGCCTGATCTGAATCGAGGCTCCTCGCAACAACACAGGGATGGTGTTGAGTACCCAGATTTCAGTCCAGAGACCTTGCTCCTCTGACTTAAATATGAACTCCAGCTGCTGGGTTTCGCTGGGATGAATCACACCTGAGTTAAAGTGAAAATAAAATAAATAAACAGCGCAATTACAATAGGCCTTTGCAGCGCTTAGCTGCTCGGGCCTAATGAAATAAAATTAAAAAAAAAACGTGCAAAAGGCTGAGTGTTGGTAGCGTGACAAGGGCTGACACATGAACAAATACATGACGCACAAACAGCAGCGGCAGGTGTTCCATCGCGTTTGTGAATCTGTACCAGAGGAGGATCTGAAGTAGAAGCGCACACGGTCCTTCTGCTGGTACAGGTGAGACAGACTTAGTCGTCTCGGAAGCTTCTTCCAGCTGTAAAAGATGACGGTGTTGCCTTCGTTGCGCAGCTCCATGTCGGTTGAGACAATTTCCCCGGTCTGGGTTTTGAACAGCACGGAGGTACTGACTCCAACTTCTCCCTAATCAGTCCAGTGGAAGAAAACACAAAGACACGACATGCAGAGAGCAGGTGATGCTCTCTGCATGTCATCAATAACAGGTGTGACACTGTTATTGATGTTATTAATCAATAACATTTTCATTAAAAGTCCATCGGTGCTTTTGCCTACAAAATGAAACAGAGCCGACTAATGTTTTTAATACAAATAGCAAATAACAAATGCAGGTTTTTAGTAGCCATTACTCTTGTGTCATAGAATAATTACATTGAATTTCCGGAACAGGAGACATTTTTTAACATAGATTTTCTTGTTTTTAAGTTTAAACTACTTCCTTTTCTACATTATTTCCACAAATATCCCATGGAGCGTATCTATCCTTTTTTTAAATGTTTTTCTCTATTTTAAAAAGCTAAAAATAGAAATAAAACAGTCTCTTTCAAAATAACAGCAGAAATCCTAGTAGATGTATGTTATTTCCCCTTAGGTCACGTAACATTTGTGGCTCTAAACAAGTTTTGTTTCGCTGGACTTGCGGCAAAAATGGCTCTTTGGATTGTAAAGGTTGCAGACCTTAGATGGCTTGAGATGCTCACAAGGTAAAATTTATTTCCACTGTGAAACTATTCAGTGAAAAACGTCACCTGTCTCCGATCCTTTACTGATGGATGGAAAGGCAGGAAAGGCAGAATTTAAGGTGTTGACCTTGTGTTTTCTTCTCATGGAGAGACATTTGTCCCAAAAAAATGTTTTTTTATCTCCTAAGAGATATCACGTTTCTGACCAGAGAATGTGAAAAACATAATGTCAGTACCTTATCAGACGTTGGGTGTCCAGTCCATTCAGCAAGCTGACCGTTAATCCTCAAAGCAGGATAGGGCAAAGCCTGGGCTTGATCGTCATCAGTTCCCTCCAGTGAGTCTCTGTCACTATACAACATGAGAACACCAGGCCATTTCAATATCCAGTCTTCAGATAATTAACTATTGGCTAAAATAATAATCAGTTGTAAAAAAAAAAATCCTCACATGTTTTATATCCATAACTGTATATTTTATCTGTGAATTTTACTGACTTGATCTGATATATTTCTGGTTATCAACTGGACCACTTTGTCCTTTGTGCCTTAAAATAATATTTGCCGTGAAACGGAGCGACATGAACAAGCTGAACTGATTGTGGTGGAAAGGAATGGCTTGTGACAAAAGAACTAAAGTTTGGCACTGATGTGCTGTGACACTGTGCAAAAAAAAAACTGTCTTATTCTGAGATAAGACTGTTATTTTTTTTTTTTTTTTGAGAAAAATAAAATTTCACCAAAAATGTGATTCTCTGCAACAAAGACATTATCCCAACATTAAGAAATGGTTAATGAAAAGACAAACAAATACAGAGCACTTGTTGCCATTATTACACATTTATACATATTTACCTGAATTCTAAAGAAAAAATGTGCTGTTTATCAAAAACAACAACAAAAAAAAAACACACCAACACTGGCAGCATATTGTTTTCCCTCAACAAAACAGATAAGAGCTACTTTTTTCTTACAATTTCTCATCCTCCATAACAACGTTTTCCTTCTCCTCATTCTGCAGTAAGAGATCCTGGCGCTCCGACAAGGAAGTGTGCAGCTTTCCGGTGCCTATCACCTCCAGTTGACTCATATCCTGCAAACATTGTCACATGCAGTTGTTGTTGCCCTGGTTGACTTCAAATCAAAGGACATCACTTGTCCTGATGAGCCACAACATGAGGACCACTCACATTTAACTGCTCGCCTCTGATCAGTTACACTATTCCTAAAGAAACACCTCCTGGTTCTAGGATATTACTAATGGATCGTTCATGTGCGTTTTCCCACTGATGGCTTTAGATCCAATCGGAGTGGTCCCGCAGGCCGGGTTTATAGGCGTGCCTTAGCTCATTTAAATATCACAAAAAGTTAATTTATTTCTGTTACTTAGTCAAAGAGCGAAACTCTACTGACATAATCACATGCAAACTCGTGCAAAAAAAAAAAGTATATCGTGTGAAGCTGCAATATTTCTTGCCAGTCATCTCAGAAAGCGAAACTCGTATATAGAAGCACCACACACAGAGTGATATATTCCAAGTCTTTTCTTCATGTCATTTTGATGATTGTGACTCAGCAAGAACATAATGAAAACCCAAAATTCAGCATCTCATAAAATTAGAATACTGTGAAAAGGTCATTATGGGAAACCCCGTGGCGTCACACTCTAATCAACTAATCAACTCAAAGCACCTGCAAAGGTTACAAACGGTCTCTCGCTCTGTGTCAGTCGGCTACACAGTTACGGTGAAGACTGCTGACTTGGCAGGTGTGCACCAGAAGTCATTGACACCTTCACAAGGAGGATAGGTCGCAAAAGGTCAAGGCTGAATCGGCTGGTAAGAGCAGAAGCTCTGTCTCCAAGCTTGGTTGAGCGGTAGGAGAAGCTGCACCAGCAACAGGGATAATCGCAGCTCTGAGAGGACTTTCAAGTAAAATCCAAGCCAGAAGTATGTCACCGAGCCAAGTCAGCTGTGGACCAGACGATCCGTCCCAAATCCCAAACGTCACATTAGCCACCGGCCCAACAGAACACACTGCACCCGCCCCCAGACACCAGCTGAAATCATTAAAAAAAAAAAAAAAAAAATGGAGGTAATGTGAATAAACACTGCCACCATCAATATCTGTTATTAAGGGAGTTAATAGGATTAAGTGGGAACCGTCAGTGCATAGAGGTACATTTGTACCACCTCAGGCCTGGCCGCCGCTGCTGATGGACTCATTGCAATGCAGGCAGAGCATAAAGTCAGACTCTGCTGCCCAACAGGCTGCAGCCACGCTACCTTTGGCTCACTCTTGATTTCATAACCGTGCTCACCCTAAATTTGTTTGTGCGTGAGCCCTAATTGCTGTTTCCATGTGCCTTTAATCATTTTAGCAAGCCTTGTGCACTCGATGTACTTTTAACAGGCAATAATTGCTGCATAATTGCAGCACTTTGCTAATTTTTTTTGTAGTTGAGTGGGAGTGTGTTTATTCCCCGTGAGCCTACAAGGTTACGTGAACCTGCGTGAATGCGCAAGAACGCTGTGCGTTGTTGGCGTTCTGGAGCTTGTTTTCTCTGCAGAGAGCCCTGGAACAGAACGATCACTCGGCAAAGAAACCGAGTGAGGCAGCCTGTGGGGGTGTGAGCACTTCACAGAGCCGAGTGCTCCACCATTAGTTGTTTCTGTAATGATAAAATCAGACCATCTACAGCTATGAAATACATTCCTTTATGCACATCGTGTGGGAAATGATGGATTTAGGGAAACAAATACCTCAGGTAACTTCTAAATCTATGGACTGTTTGGAAAAATAAACTCAAGTAAACGCTGGGGGAAAAAAAACATGATGTCATATTGATTTTGTAAAACCGAGGCTCAAAACGGTTGATTAAAGCATTTCTATTTACTAAATCCCAGAATAATGAGAGATTTTTATTGTCTTTCTTCAAATTCAAAAGTATGCACCTAATTTGTATGGATTGCTTTTTTTAAAGTGCGTGGCTTTGGTCAAACATGTTTACACATACTTCTACAATGTTCTTACTGATGAAACTGTGTCTTTCCCAAAATATTTAAATTGCAACGTAATCTTATGGGCGCCGATTTCCGAATTTGAAAAAAGTAATAAAAAAATAAAATAAGGACACTCTGAATAAATAGCATGACATGTCAGTCGACTGTATAAAATGTATTAGAAAAAGTTTTCTCTGTTGATTCGCAGAAGTTTAAAATCTCAAACCTGAAAGGACTGACCTGTAGAAATGATGGATGTTCTGTTTACTACTCTAACGTCAGGCTTCTCACACATGCCTAAAAACCAAACCAAATTAGGTAACAAACAAAACTTTTTATAAAGCAATAACTGGCAACTGAAATTTTCCGAATCGGTTAAACTGGTTAGCTAAAAGCGTCCTGAAAGGACTAGGCTCATGCTTCATTTTATTTGAAATCTGAATCAGTTCAAGATGGCTGCAAGCAGAAGCAGGCGTCCAAATTGGTCATTCTCTCGCCGCTGGTCTGCTAGAGAATATCGCACCTGATTTATCATGGCGACAAATAGGGATACCTGTTCAGTTCTGTGTGGGTTCATGTGTGAATCTTAACCCTGGGGTCACCTTAAAAGCTGAAATCAGTTGCGGTAAAAGAAAACATAAAGTTATTATCGCCTTTAGCTCAAGTCATCATATTTTAAGTCATAATACACAGCTCCGTTTTTTACATTATGTCAACTGTTCCATAAAAACTATGATTATCTGGGCTTTGCATACGACATGTTTAATAAAAAGAAATAGCTTTAGATTGTACTTGTTTTCATTGGTAACTGAGAACAGACAAAAATGTCTTACTAGATTTTTCAAGTCCACGTCGTCCACAATGTGTTCAAGCTCCTGCGTCCTGCGTTGCAGGAAAGCACTCTGAGCCCAGGGTCGAGTAGCTGGACGCTCGATCTCAGTAGAAACGATTCCTGAAAGATGAAAAATATCCCCCAAAAGTAGGGGGGTAGAAAAAAAAAAGATTCTGCATGGGCTTAAATCGTTAGGGCTTCCATTTGCTCCAATTCAACCATTAAAGAGTTCCATAACAAGGCTAAAGGGATGAAACTATGTTTACCCATTTCCCTGTGTATGGTGCCTGGGTGTCCCACGTGTGTGATGGGTTTCTTTAGGCCTCGCTCGGTCTGAGTCAGTGTGGTCGCGATACCGGTCAGTTCATCGCCGAGACGCAGCGGGAGGCTCCAAAACTCGCCGCCCACAGTGTACCCCTTCCAAAGAGAAAGAGACGCAGGCGTGAAGAAAGTGAAGGGATGGAAACCTGGCAGGCCGGTAAAATCAAACGCGTCATACGTATCCAGAGTAGGCGAGCGGCATGACTTGATTTAGAATTTCCTTCTGCTCCTTTGTCTCTCTCAAATGCTTGTCCTGATTCATCAGCAGGTTTTCCACAGGCCAGTTGAGCGAGTCTTACAAGAGCAAATATACAGACTTCACTTTCCTCGTCTTTCCAGTGGAGAAACAAAGGTACAACGACCGACGCAAAGTTCTCAAGAACCTCACCAGACAATTCTTTCTGCTTCCGTCTGCGATATGTCATGTGTTTATCCCAGTTCTGAAGCGCATTGCTCTGGTGTGAAATCTCTCCATCGCTGCTGTCTGTGCGAGGCTCCATGTTGGCTTCAGATGCGGGATCTCTCAAAGGCTTCGGAAAGTGCTTTAACAGCTTGTTTGGAGGGG